CCCGCCCCGCCCGGCGAGGCGCGTCCCTGATCCCGCGTCTCCCCAGGGCTGCGGGCTGCTGGGGAGACCTCGGCGAAGCAGAGGCCCGAGCCGCGCGGGGACACAAAGGGTAATGCCGCCCCCTGCCGGCCTTTCGGAGGCGAGCAGCCCCGGGGCCGGCTGCTGGGTCCCAGGAAACCCCCTCAAGGGTACCAGACTGGGTGGGGTTTTGAGTTCTTTCACCCTCCCAAGCCTCCGTTTCCCCATCGGTAACACACAGCCCCACGCACAGCCTCTGTCAGTTCTCTACTATTGCGGGCCGTTCTTCCTGCAGACTGCCCTGGGATGAAGGCTCTGCAGCAGAGGCTGGCCGCCCTTCAGCGGGCCCATGCCTGGCTCCTGCAGCTCCCCTCAGAGCACTTGGCCATGGACTTCCACGAGGTAGGTCTCTAGGCTTCCCAGTGGCTTGTCAAAGACCACCTAGCTCTGCCTGGGTGCAGAGAAGGAACAGGAGGCTCAAAGGGTGTCCGGGAAGTGGGTGGGGAGTGTCTTGGCCAAAGTCTGGTGTAATCCTAGCCACTGTGGAGGTTGAGATCTGGGAATTGAGGTTTGAAGCCAGCTGGGGCAGGAAAATCCAGGTGACGCTTATCTCCAGTTAACCGCTAAAAAGCCAGAAGTGGAGCTGTGGTTCAAGTGATAGAGCGCTAGCCTTGAGCAAAAGAAGCTCTGAGTACAAGTGCCAGGGCTGGCGCGCGCGCGCGCACACACACACACACGAGAGGTGGAGAGGTGAGTGGAAATAGCTGGATTGTGGGGGAGTCTAAATCCAAACCCCTGGATTCTAGGCTCCTGGAGGGTGACCGCAGCGTTCTCACTCAGGACTGGGTTTCTGGGTCTTCTGCAGGTACTGGCAGACCTGGGATCCAAGACACTGACTGGACTCTTCAGAGCCTGGGTGCGGGCAGGCCTGGGGGACCGGCGTGTGGTCTTCCCTGGCCTGGTGGGACTCGAGCCGGCCACGCTGGCTCGCAGCCTCCCCAGGCTGCTTGTGCAGGCCCTGCAGGCCTTCCGCTCAGCAGCCCTGGCAGAGGGAGAGCTGGAGGGGCCCTGAGTGGGGGAGGAGGGGAAAAGCGCAGGAAGGAGCACCATCCAGGCAGCCCTCGGGCTGCCAGGAGCAGGAGCCGCAGCCCTCGGGGACTAAGGAGGCTCAGAGAACCTAAGCCGTAGCCCTTGGCCTCACGTGTCTTCCCCGTTGTATGATCAAAGTCAAAGCTGCTTCAATAAATGTTATTTATAATCCACCAACTGGAACTTTCTTGGGATGGGACCGTGTGGCTGGGCGTTAGGAGGGAGATGGGCAGGCAGCGCTCAGTCTCCGGAAGCAGCTGGCAGATGTCACAAAGGAGCTGCGTAGACACAAGGCCTCTGTCCTAACAAATCCTCTGCCTCTCAAGTGGCAGCTGCTGGTTCTTGTCTGTTGCAGGCCGGCCCTGGCCTGGGTGTCTCTACCGCGCTCGCCTTCCTGCTAAGCTAGGCCTGGGATGTCAGCCTCCTGTCCTTGGGCATCTGCCCTGGCTAGCCAGTCCCCACCCCCTCATCACCTGCTTGGAGGTGTCACATTGCATTTCCGGCTGCTTCTTTCCTTTGCTCACCCCCACCCCCCACCCCCAGCCTGCACCTGTCCCCTCTCCCCACCCCTTCCCATTCCACAGTCTGCAGACAGGAAGGGACAGACACGAGATCTAGCCAGACGGTGAGGATGGAGGGGCCTGTGCTGACACTGGGACTGCTGGCCTCCCTGGTTGTGTGTGGTAAGGGTGGCTATCACCTCCTCCCTGGGCACCCTCTGCGCCCATCAGGCCCCTTCCCAGGACCAGGTCCTCTTCCCCACCCCCCTTGTCTGACCTCCAGGGAGGAGTAACTCCCCCTCGCTCGCTCGGTCCACGCCACAGGCCCCAGCACAGATTACCAGCTGGGGCCCACCCCTCGATCTCTCAGGCAGCTGGGCACTGAACGAGGAGGAGCGTCTGATCCGGTACCTGTTCAAGGAGAAGGGCTACAACAAGGAGCTGCGGCCCGTGGCCCGCAAGGAGGACAGCGTGGACATCTCACTGGCTCTCACCCTCTCCAACCTCATCTCCCTGGTGAGCTTCCGCCTCCCGCCTGGCCTCCCCAGGGGTGCCCACGCCCCACGCCCTGCGGGACCAGCCCTCAGCACCAGGTCTGGGCTGTCACCCTTCAGTGACCCCATGCTCCCCCACCCCACGCCCAGGGGTGGTGCTCAGGGCAGGGACTTGGCTGGCCCATGTCCACGGGGCTCCTGGCACCGGCGGCGGTGGCAGGGTTAGGTGCCCAGGGAATGCGTGGGGATGCAAGGTGGGCGTGGCCTTTTGAGGGACAGCCCTCTTGTCTGATTACAGAAAGAAGTGGAGGAGACCCTCACCACCAACGTGTGGATAGAGCACGTAAGAACTTCCCGCCCAGGGCCCGGTGCCCTGTAATCCGGAACCCCAGCTCGCCTTGGACATGGTCCCCTCGGAGGGCCTGACCCCTCATCCTTACAGAAGCCCAGCTGCCCCTCCATCCACCGAGCCTCTGCTCGCTCTGCCGGCACCTGCCCGCCCGCTGGCATCATGGTGACTCCATTCTCGTTTTCATTAGGAGTCACAGTAGAAAGGCAAGGACACAGACCTTACCACACAGCTGTCCGCGATGGACACACGTCCCCATGCTTTCAAGGCTGGCTCCTAGACCCGGCTCGGGCTCCCCTGGGGCAATGGGGACGGGAGTGTGGCACAGGCCACTGCCCACATGTCTTTGGGCCTTCCAGGGCTGGACAGACAGCCGGCTCCAGTGGGATGTCAATGAATTTGGGAACATCAGTGTCCTGCGCCTGCCGCCCGACATGGTGTGGCTCCCAGATATTGTGCTGGAGAACAAGTTGAGTGGAGTGCTCCCCCCGTGCTCCTCCCCACGTGCTCCAGGCCTTCTCTGCATGCCCGGCCAGCCCCAGGCGCCCTCCTGCCCTTCCTCTGCTGCCCCCCCAACCCTGCTGTGACGGCCAGTGCTCCCAGTGACCCTGTCCCTGTCCCCCAGCAATGACGGCTCCTTCCAGATCTCCTACTGGTGCAACGTGCTGGTCTATGACTCGGGCTACGTATACTGGCTGCCACCTGCCATCTTCAGCTCCTCCTGCCCCATCTCGGTCACCTACTTCCCCTTCGACTGGCAGAACTGCTCCCTCAAGTTCAGGTGCACCTCCTTCTCTGGCCCCCTCCATCCTTTAGATGGGTTCTCCTTGTTTTACGGGTCCTTCCCCCACAGTGGCCCCAGCCCAGGACTGAGGGTCACCTACTGCCCTTTGCCCTCCGCAGCTCGCTCAAGTACACGGCCAAGGAGATCACTCTGAGCCTGAAGCAGGAGCTGGAGGACAACCGTGCGTACCCCGTGGAGTGGATCATCATTGACCCTGAGGGCTTCACAGGTATCTGTCTAGCGGGGGATGGGTAGGTACAGGGACTCAGCCACACCAGCCATGGATGCCTGCTGACCCCCCCGCCCCTCCCCCCCGAGCTACAGTGCAGCCACAGACACATAGATAGAGGGAGACACATCTCACATTCAGAGAAACACACATGGACAACACAAAAAGACCTCCAAAGGCAGAGCTGGCAGGAAGCCAGGGCCAGCCCCACTACCCCCTCCCCCCCCCCCCCCCAGCCCCCACCACATCCAGCCCTAAAACCCTCAAACGCCACCCAGAAGTCTGAGGATGGGCTGGGTAACACAGGTAACTGGTTGGTCTGTTCTGTTGGACCCTCCGTGTCTATACTCAGAGCTATAAGGCCTGCTGCTCACCCTGTCCATCAGAGGAGACCTGCTTTCAAGGTGGGGATGTTATGGGGGGCACAGAACTCTCACCAGCTCATAGTCTTTCAGAGTCATGTCCTGGGCTTCAGTTTGTTTTGTTTTTGTTTTTCTGTGCTTTGTTTTTTGGCCCTACTGGAGTTTTAAACTCATGCTTACTAGATAAGCACTGTACCACTGAGGCACACTTTCAGCCTGTCTCTCCCTGGTTATTTCTGAGATAGGGTCTCATTTCCTGCCCTAGCCATGGGCCTGGACCATGATCTGCCTATTTTGGCCTTCCTGTGGTCGCTGGGAGGAGATCTGTGCATCGTGCCCACCTTTGTCCATTGGGACAAAGCCAAGTATGGAGATTTCTTCCCAGGGCTGACCTGGAACGGTGTGTCACACTCCCATCCTCTCAAGTAGCCTGGAACAGCAGGCATGTGCCACTGTCCCCAACTCTGGGTTGAGAAGGGAGTCTAAGTTTTCTGTCTGGGGTGGCCTCAAATCATGATCCTTCTGTTCTCAGCCTCCTAAATGCTAGAATCCCAGATGAGAGCCACTGATGTCTGGCTTGAGCTTCATTTTTTTTTTTGGGGGGTCCAGTAGTGGGGCCTGAACTCTGGGCCTGGGCGCTGTCCCTCAGCTCTTCAGCTCAAGACTAGCACTCTACCACTTGAGCCACAGCGCCACTTCCAGCTTTTTTCTTTTTTGCTTATGTGGTGCTGAGGAATCGAACCCAGGGCCTCATGAGTGCAAGGCAAGCGCTCTACCACTGAGCCACCTTCCCAGCCCCAAACTTCATTTTTTAACTAGAAAACAAATTTAAAGACTGAGAGAGTTTTGTTTTAATCTGCACATGACTTCGTTTGAGGTCAGGATATCTTATTTGTTTGTTTGGGTTTTTTTTTTTTACTATATTTTTTGCCTTTTCTGGATTGAACCCAGGATATGGCACTTGCTAGGCAAGAGCTTTGCCACTGAGCCACATCCCAGCCCCAGGACATCTTTTGAGCCAAAGCACACTCCTTTTTGGAACCCTGCGTGTGCCACTCACAGACCGAGCCCCTCCCTGCCAGCCTGATGCCCCCTCCGAACCTCACATCCTCCCGGGCCTCCTGCTGGGCCCCTGGCCCAGTTCCACCTCAGCTCCTCATCCTGCCCCAGGCCCCTTGTGCCCCCAGGCCGGGGCGGATCCTAAGCTGTCCCTGTGGCCTCCGCAGAGAACGGGGAGTGGGAGATAGTGCACCGGCCAGCCAGGGTCAACGTGGCCCCCAGCGCCCCGCTGGACAGCACCAGCCACCAGGACGTCACCTTCTACCTCATCATCCGCCGCAAGCCTCTCTTCTACATCATCAACATCCTGGTCCCCTGCGTGCTCATCTCCTTCATGATCAACCTGGTCTTCTACCTGCCCGGCGACTGTGAGCTCCACTGCTTCCGCCCGCCATGCTCACCTTGGCAGGGGCTACGGGCTTGGCACCTAGGGGCGCCCAGGGATGACTCAGCCGGTGGATAGGGCATCTCTCCAGGAAGCTGGCAGGAGGGGCACAGAAACCAGTCTGAATAGTTATTGAAAACAGGCCCCAGTGGGTCCCGGGGACAAAGACTACCTAGTCCCTGCCCATGTTGGGGACTGGGGTAAAACCAGAATATGTCCATGAGGGAGGCTGGGGCAGAACAGGTGGGACTGGTGTGTAGGAGTTCGTGTGGAGGGACAGGTCGCCTGGGCTGTCGGTTTATGGGAAGGGCTGTTTGGTGGGGTACTGTCCTGGCCCTAGGAAGAGACCGAGGTGCTTTTGGGGCAGGAGCCACACATACAGAGCTGTGCTTCAGAAGAGCTATGGGGGCAGTGATTACCCAAGTCCAGGAAGAGTGTCTGTTAATGCACATTCCCCTGACATGAAACAGTTGAGAGCACAGGCACAGAGAGGTTGTGCTACTTGTCTAGATCACCCAGCGAGCAAGTGACAGCCAGGATTTGATAGACCCAGGTGCTCCCTCCCTGCAGCCTATATCCACAGCGTTTATCAGGACACGGTGTGGCCCCTAGAGGGCTCTCGTGTGCTCGAGGTCTGAGGCTACAGCTAGATCTGACTCCCCAGGCGGCGAGAAGACCTCGGTGGCCATCTCAGTGCTCCTGGCCCAGTCCGTCTTCCTGCTGCTCATCTCCAAGCGGCTGCCGGCCACGTCCATGGCCATCCCGCTGATTGGCAAGTGAGTGTAGCCAGCCCCGCCCACTCACCCACCCAGGTCCCGCTG